ATGTCCGACATAGTAGCATAAAAGCCTTCAAGAATTGCAAGCGTTTTTAAAGTATTGGGCATCTTTTTCTGAGAAAGCCTTCCTAAGCGTAATACATTTGTAGCCTTACAGTCCATGCCATAAGTTTCGTGGATCCACCCTTAACATGAGAATAAATAAATTAGTCACAAAATTCGAAATTTAATTATTATATTTTTTTACCTACCCCATGACTGAATTCCAAGTACATATGTACTATGAAGATCATTTCCAGAAGCATTGGGATTTGTTTTGAAAAAATTATACAGGACATCGCGCATTGCTACGGAAAGATCCGCTCTATCCTCGTGAACTTTTTTGCGATGTGCAACAGGGAGACCGCCACTTCTAAGGCCAATAATGGCTTCAAGGTTATTAATACTATTTTTCAAAGTACCCCGAAAATCGCACTTTTGGCCTATACGTGCTCGGAGGACTATTGAGCGTCCTTCGTTTCTTCGACGGGCAGAAGCCCAACAAGCAATTTCCCCGCTATAGGATTGTAAGAAAAAAAATTAATTACTACTTAAAGATTTGGCCATTGTATTCTTATTTATACTTACACGTCCATTTTGAGATCACGTTTGTTTAAAATCTTTTTGTCAACATATTTGGAAATGAATTGTCAAAGTCGGCTTCTGATATGGGAACTTCAAGATCCTTCAAATTTTCGGCGCTGTGATAAAAGATTGGAAAATTGATAAAAATTATGTGATGTGCTGTAATCTATCAAATGCTAATAAAAGAAAATAATTATTATATTTAACTCACTAGGTAATAACGGCACGTCTTAATCCTTTAAAGATCTCCTTTTCCTCATCACTGAATTTGACTTTTCTATTTTTTTCTATCATCTCCGGAGTCAAATCATCAATCGCATTGATGATATATTCATCATCTTTTTTGGTTATCTAAAAATATGTGTGTCAGCGACATTTTAAAAAATAATATAATAAGACAAATTTTTTATCACCTTTTCTACTTCGTCGAAAAAATATTCAACAACATTCGGTATATCTGATTCATCTAACTTTACATCATTTTTGAAGCTTTCATTTATTTCTTCCCAGTCATCCGTTGAAAAAAAAGATTTTATTTGAGTATCTTCTGTTAAATCGAGAATGTTCCAGTACGCGAGGCTATAAAGAAATTCTAAGATTAAATATAGTCATCACTAACTTTTATGACCTCTGCCAATTCAAAAAACTTACTTCAAACATTTATGAGCCTCAGGAATCGTCTTAACATATTTTGCTAATTCGTCTCCAACGTTGGTACCACTATTGAGAACCCACGATCGACGAGTAGTTGGTTGAATTTCTTCTATACGTTCTATGAAGTTATTATCACTGTCGCCATCGCTGATATCATCTTTATTACCCTTGCTTATAAAAAATTCTTCGATTTCGTTTATATCCTCCTCTTCCTGATCTTCTTGATCTTCTTCTTCACTTATGGCTAAGTTGGTATTTTTTACCAATGATTCGTCCTGTAATAAAAATTTTCATAATCGTTTAATATTTATGGCAAGCCCTTTAGTTATTTCTGAAGAGTAATAACCTTACCTTGTTTAATGACAACGTGCTTATCTCTTTGTGAAGATTAAGATTGGTACTACGTACATTACGACGAACAAGAATCTATGTAATGCAGAATTTTATTAATGTTAGGTTAAACTATCTAAAAAGTCAGCAAACGGACATACCGCTGTTTTTTCTTGCATCCATGTTTCCCAATCACGCAGAATCCTTTCATCCTATCAAAAAGGAAATCAGATTTAGAAGTATTTTATAATATGGCAAAAACTTTCAATTACATACATCCACCGTTTCTTTCATTCTTTCGAGCTTATCTCTTATTTCTTGATTGTTAGTCGTATTCAAAGCCAGATCAAGTGTTTTCCGATAATTATCAGATGCTTTAACTTTATGTGCTGGAAATGTATATCGAAAGAATGCGATCGGGGTTGGATCAGGGCAAGCTAGCGTCCAATTAATATTGCATTCTCTCCGAGTTAACTTGCACGATGATGATTTCATTCTTGAGTACAAAAAATAGAAAGTTGAGTATCTTATCAAACAAAATACATGAAAAATTCAATAAATTGGGCCGTTCTTCACATAGGGCCGGCCATCGCTGGATGATGACTCGCAATTGCTTGCTTCCGACAGTTTCTCTCTGTCGCAGGCGCCCTTTTGTGTCAAACAAGCCCTCATAAAATCTGCGCAATGAAGTCAGCCGGCCATCGCTGGATGATGACTCGCCATTGCTGGCTTCCGACAGTTTCTCTCTGTCGCAGGCGCTTCCTTCTTGCTTAACAGAAGCTATGTTCTCTGTCGCAGGCACTAAATAAGAGAGAACTGAGCCCACCTGACTGATATGTTGTTCGAAAGACGGTGATAAAAATTTTTTTACAGACGAGAGTAAATATTTACATGACACATGATATTAAACCGTGACAAAATGTCACGATCAGAACTGCCGATCACTTTTGCCAAGAAAATTATTTCGGAAAATTACTGTTGTACATTACACAAAAAATAACATGTGATACGTTGTACGTTCCTCTAACCGAAAATCTTTATTAATGAAAATATATAATGATAAAAATACATATAAAATTACATGGATAAAAAAAAACTAATTATCTTCATCATCTCACATAGGTGTAGAAACTGTGGTACTCTCTTCCATTTGTCTTTGAGATTTGG